AAATATTTATATTTATATTTATTATTATGTATATAAACATTACTATTATAATTTTATCTTACTTATTTTGATAACTTTGAAATTGTATAATTTAAAAATTATTTTTGTGAACAATTATTTATTTGTTAATGAAATGATATGTTTTTTACTAACCTGGATATCCAACCCGCCATACGAGCCGACTAATCCCAGAGCAACCACCTGCTTTGCAGATAGCCCGGAGTTACCACATTTGAACCTCCGTGGCCACAATTTTTTTTTATTCCTCTTTAAATTTGAATCTGGGACCTCCTGGTACTTGTGACTTTTGGAGTCAAACTCAAACCAATGAGACATTAGTTTTATTTTTACGATTTTTAGGATGCATTAGTTTTATTTTTATCACATACATGATCCCTCTTAATAAAAAATGTTAAAAACATTTCTTTTGTAATAATCAATTAATAAAAATATAATTTTCATTATTTTCATAATTATTTATAAATAATGAAATCCAATTTTATTTCAAATTCTACAAACCAAACACACAAATGATTTCAAAACCATTTGAATCCAAATTCAAATCCCTGCATGAAATTCAAATATCTAAAACAAACAGAACCTAAGATTTTTATGACTGATAACCTTTTTTCATATTAATATACATTTAAATCATGATTCAACCTTTTTTTGATAGTTATTGGTTTTCATATCAGTTCATGTACATTGAACAATTATGTCGTAACTACAAATAATCTAGAGTCATTACAGATGATCCGACTATAGCATCAATAAAAGGGTATTTTCTGCTTTTTTAAGTTAACACAACGTTTCTTCATTTCAATATAATTGACTTTTTAAATAAAGCAAATCAATTTAAACATTTTTAACCATTTTATATAATTATATTTGATTTCAATATAAATTAAAAATTAATTAATTGAAGAAAATTAATATAAATATTACATTATATCATATCATATCATAAAATACGCAACCACTATGAGGCATGTAAACATGTGAATCATTGACCTTTAAGACGTGGAGAAAGGGTGCAAAATAAGTTAAAATGCAAGTGGTTGCCAAGGTTACTTTTGGTCCCTAGCGTTTGTTAATTTCAACGGTTTTCATCCCTCAATTATATTTTAATCGATTTGTTCTTCACGTTTGACACCTAATGACGATTTTCATCTCTCCTCCTAACGAGCGTTAATTTTTTTCCCGTTAAATCCAATTAAATGAAACGTATTTTAGTCATTTTAATTATATATATATATATATATATATATATATATATATATGGATATTAGATATATAACCTAACTATGTGTGTTTCCTTTTCTTCCAAATAAGAAAGTTCATTGTTTATTTCTCTTAATTCCAATTCGTAGTTAAAATTTACATTTAAAACCAACCCAAACATTTCATATTTTACAATTGGATTCATCGTTCTCCTTTTATATAGTCCCTATAATATAATTTATTTTGTAAAAAAATGGGTCATCTAAATAAAATCTGTTGATAAATATGTAGAATCCGAACAAACATCAAGGGAAAAAACCAATGATGTTTCTCATTCGTTGTTGTGGTCACTAGTAATTATGGAAGAAGAAGGGCCACAGTTGTATGGTGTTCTACTTCAACAGGGGAAGAAAAATGACCTTCGCCTATTATAAGGGAGAAGGGAGGGTGTTCCAGTTCAACAGATTCAAAAAGCTATAACATTAGTTGTATCAGAGGAAGGGGGGTCACAATAAGGAAAAAAAGTTAATGGTCGTTAAGAAGAGGGACGAAAATCGTTACGAGATGTCAAATATAAGGGATAATTCTGTTAAAATAAAATTGAGGGATGAAAACCATTGAAATTGATAAACATCAGGGACAAAAATGGAACTTTTTAATATTTTGGCAATGGGAACATTCTAGAAATGCTTATTGCCGTTTTTATAGTATTATGCTAACCGTCAAAATATGGTACATTCTAGATCTATGAACCATTTCTAGAATCCCAAAATAATCATTTTCAAAATAAAATAAATCAAAAAAATTCGGCTCCCATATTTTTTAATGTAAAAAATTAAAACAAGTTATAAAAGAAAATATTAAAATACTATTTATAAATCTAAAAGATACTAAATTTAATTTGTTATAAATAATATATTAGAGACGGGGTCGGGGATCATGTTACCGTGGCTCCGACCCTATCCCTGATTTTTAACTTTTAGGGATTCTCGTCACTGTCTTTAGTCCCTGATATTGTGAGAAATCCTCGTCCTCGGATAGGGTACAATGGGTTCACCAAGGAGATGGATTTTCATTATGATGTATGTGGTTGATTTAAATTTCCAATCGAAGTTTGTTTGGTAAAATTTGTATAAAGTCTGATATAAATAATATTTGGCAAAAGATGCAACATGACATTTGTCAAAATACTAGACAAGTCGCTAACCTCAGATGCTAAGTGAGTTAAAAAAACTAGAAGAGTACACACATAATACAATGAGATATATCTTCATTTTAAAGTTTCGTTTTATTTTTTGCCTCTGTTGGTATAAAACAGTTTATGTGGTTTTGAAAAAGATAATGTTTTGAATAAAAATAAATTTGAAGATATCATAAAACTTTAAAAAAATATATCAATAATAATATCAAATTAACTATCTAAAAGTTCTCATTTTTTTGTACAATTTCTTTAATTTGAATTTTTATTATGATTTAATTTAAGTTAAGTAATTATTTTTGGCTTAACAATATAATTTTTTTAAAGATAATGATTTTATTGGAACTCAATAATCATCCTTATTGTATATTAGATTTTTTATATTTAAAATGAAATGTTTATCCTGTATTTGATTATATTTATCTGCAGTTAGTTTTATAAATTCAAAAATAAGATTTAATAAGTTGTATTTACATACAATTTACTTGTAATCTTAAATTTAAGTAATATATACATTTGTACACAATATTTCATATATAAAAATTATTTTTAAAATTTTTTATCAAATAATTTATGGTACAGTATAAATATATACATTATCAAATTTGTGTGAATATTCAAATCCTAACGAGAATTTTATTTATTAATCTTGGATTAAATTAACATTAAATGAGTAAATAAAGGAAAAAAGCATTTCTTTCTTGACAAGAAAGGACTCCTGTGCTTTCGCCCTATATATGCACAGAATACCCAAACCCTCACACATTACCCAAAATTCTCAATTCTAATTCCCTTTTCTAGTAATCAATCTTCTTCAACATCATGAGTAATCAACCTGAATCATCCGATTCGTAAGTCGCATTTTTTTCTACACTTCTTGTTATTTCTTTTGATGATTCTATCATATATGAGTAGCAGACTATGGCCGCTTCCATTCTTGAATCTTGATTTTGAAGTTTTACCTCTAATTGTAGCAAGGGGACGAAGCGGGACTTCAGTACCGCCATTCTGGAGCGGAAGAAGGCGGCGAACAGGCTCGTAGTCGATGAAGCCATCAATGATGATAACTCCGTTGTTGCCTTACATCCTGAGACTATGGAAAAGCTTCAGCTATTCAGAGGCGACACTATTTTGATCAAGGTATTTTTCGGAGTACTTCTGGTTATTATTGTTATTATTATTATGCTTTCTTCACTGTATTAATCTGAATTTGTTGTTTTAGACTCTTGATTGGGATTATTTTGATTTAGGGTTTTAAACTAGTATGTAACTATGCATATGGTTTTTCAATCAAGGGTTTTGGCTCTGCGAACTTGTTATATTTCACGATCTAATCATATGATCATAATATTAGGTGCCAAGTTTACTTTGGAGTTGGAAATATGTATTTGGATTGGTAAAATTAGGTTTCCACGTTAGTTGGAAGATCAATTCGGACCCTAGATTAAGTTGCTTTTGCTTATAGGTTTTGCCATTATAACTGATTCCTCTACGTCCCTGTCTATTCAGAAATATCATTGGTACCCATATCTGCTGGTGAAAATTTCATACATTGCGAACTAGGAGGTGAAACATCATAGAAGCTAGCACAATTTGTCTTTCTTCGCTGTATTGATTAGTTTCCAAATGCTTTATAAAGGACAATACACTGGAGAAAAACAAGGGAGCATTTGTGCAATTCAAAATTGGGTGGATCTTTGGAGTATCATAGTTTTGATTTTGATAAATGTTCATAGTATTGGGTGCTAATGAGCTTCTATATCAGTTACAGTTTGGGTTTTTGTATATGATATAGGTCTGGTTTTATTGCCAATAGCAACTAATTTTCAACTTTCATAAAAGAAGTCTGTTTGAATGTGGTAAAGTTGGGTTTGTCATGGATAGCTTTATCATTGGTCATCCTTAATTTGACAATCTTTGAGTCCATGGTTGGATACTATGAACCCCAAGACTGTTTCAACTTATATCGGTTAATCAATCTTGCGAGTACTTTTACGTTAGTAGAGTCTACATTCCTGCCACCTCCATTATACTCTGGTGGAAGGGAAAGGGACCTTCTATATTCTGGATATCACAGGCTTCATCTACTAGATATTGAGATTCTTGGTGTATGTGTTTCTATTCCCAGGGAAAGAAAAGGAAAGATACAATCTGTATCGCTCTTGCTGATGACACTTGTGATGAACCAAAGATTAGGATGAATAAGGTTGTCAGGTCTAACTTGAGGGTTAGGCTTGGTGATGTGGTCTCTGTTCATCAATGTGCTGATGTTAAATATGGGAAGCGTGTTCACATTCTCCCGGTTGATGATACAATTGAGGGCGTTACTGGGAATCTCTTTGATGCTTACTTGAAACGTAAGTTTGCTCATTTAGAATTTCTAGAGTTCCTTGATCATGTTTATGTGCTGATATCCCATCTGCATTGTTTGCAGCATACTTCATGGAGGCATACCGGCCAGTGAGGAAGGGTGACTTCTTTCTTGTAAGGGGAGGAATGAGAAGTGTAGAGTTCAAGGTTATTGAGACTGATCCACCAGAGTATTGTGTAGTTGCCCCTGATACAGAGATCTTCTGTGAAGGTGAGCCCGTGAGAAGGGAGGATGAGGATCGTTTGGATGAGATTGGTTATGATGATGTTGGTGGTGTTCGCAAACAGATGGCACAGATTCGTGAGCTAGTTGAGCTGCCATTAAGGCACCCACAACTCTTTAAGTCAATTGGGGTTAAGCCACCAAAGGGAATTCTGCTGTACGGTCCTCCTGGATCTGGGAAGACTTTAATAGCCCGTGCAGTTGCCAATGAAACTGGTGCGTTCTTTTTCTGTATCAATGGTCCAGAAATCATGTCAAAGTTGGCCGGAGAAAGTGAGAGCAATCTCAGGAAAGCGTTTGAGGAAGCAGAGAAGAATGCTCCATCCATCATCTTTATTGATGAGATCGATTCAATTGCTCCTAAACGTGAGAAGACACATGGAGAAGTTGAAAGGAGAATTGTTTCACAGCTTTTGACTCTCATGGACGGACTGAAATCCCGAGCTCATGTTATTGTTATGGGTGCCACTAACCGTCCTAATAGCATTGACCCTGCCCTTAGGAGATTTGGTAGATTTGACAGGGAAATCGATATTGGTGTGCCTGATGAAATTGGCCGTCTTGAGGTTCTTCGTATCCATACCAAGAACATGAAACTGTCTGATGATGTTGACTTGGAAAAGATTTCGAAAGAGACACATGGATATGTGGGTGCTGATTTGGCAGCTTTGTGTACCGAGGCTGCACTCCAATGCATCCGAGAGAAAATGGATGTGATTGATTTGGAAGACGAGTCCATTGATGCAGAGATTCTCAATTCCATGGCTGTTTCAAATGAGCACTTTTCGACCGCCCTTGGTACAAGCAACCCGTCTGCGCTTCGTGAGACTGTTGTTGAAGTACCGAATGTCAGTTGGGAAGATATCGGAGGCCTTGAGAATGTTAAAAGAGAACTTCAGGAGGTATGGGCACATTCTGATCCTGATATCCATTCTTTGTCATATTATATTTTTACTTATTGATAAGATATCTATTAATCCATTGTGCAGACTGTTCAATATCCGGTCGAACATCCAGAGAAATTCGAGAAGTTTGGTATGTCACCCTCTAAAGGGGTTCTCTTCTATGGTCCACCAGGGTGTGGAAAAACTCTTCTTGCCAAGGCTATTGCCAATGAATGCCAGGCCAATTTCATCAGCATCAAGGGTCCTGAATTGCTTACAATGTGGTTTGGTGAGAGTGAAGCTAATGTTCGCGAGATTTTCGACAAGGCCCGTGGATCTGCTCCTTGTGTCCTGTTTTTTGATGAACTCGATTCCATCGCTACCCAGGTCTGTTTTCTGTTGCTTTAAACTCAACGGTTCCACCAAGCGTTTTTGTTTCTTGATGGCTTAGCCTGTTTTTATGTGCAGAGAGGGAGCAGTCAGGGAGATGCTGGAGGTGCAGCTGACAGAGTTCTGAATCAACTTCTGACCGAGATGGACGGTATGTCGGCCAAAAAGACTGTATTCATCATCGGTGCTACTAACAGGCCCGATATCATCGATCCTGCACTTTTGAGGCCTGGTCGTCTTGATCAGTTGATATACATCCCTCTCCCTGATGAGGAATCCCGCTATCAAATCTTCAAATCGGCTTTGAGGAAATCTCCGGTTGCCAAAGACGTAGATCTGAATGCCCTTGCCAAGTACACCCAGGGATTCAGTGGTGCTGATATCACGGAAATCTGCCAGCGTGCCTGCAAGTACGCCATTCGTGAGAACATTGAGAAAGTAAGCACCCTTTGACACTTGAACACTAGCTTATGATACAAGATACTAATGTTGGGATGTGGTTTCAGGATATCGAGAGGGAAAAGAGAAGAAGCGAAAACCCGGAGGCTATGGAGGAGGACATGGAGGATGAGGTGGCGGAGATCAAGGCGGCACACTTTGAGGAATCGATGAAGTTTGCACGCAGGAGTGTGAGCGATGCCGACATTAGGAAGTACCAGGCGTTTGCTCAAACACTGCAACAGTCGAGAGGGTTTGGTTCTGAGTTCAGGTTTGCAGAGACTAGCGGAGCAGGGGCGGCCGCTGGTGGTTCCGACCCTTTTGCTGCGGCCGCAGGTGCAGCCGATGAAGATGATCTGTACAACTGATAATCGTATATACCCACGCAGATGGCACTCTTTTTCTTTCTCATCTGGTTAAAAAACTCTCTGAAGTCTTTCTGTAATTCATACGACTTGATAACTTGTTTTTTATGAGCATGGTTAGATTTAAACAATCTGTTCCTGACGTAGAGCCTAATGCGTATTGTTGATGGATCATGTGAGATCTGAACCCTTTAATTTCATACCCACCCATCCATAAATTACGTTTCAGAAGGGAATTTGATCTGAAACCTCTACCGCTGAAAAAGCATGAAACCTTGATAAACAAGGGATGCTATCGGTGGACTAGTTTCTACAACAATGTACGTAAGTCCTAGTTTAATTTTTTGGAGAGGTTAACAAACGCTATTTTCTTTTCGAAACCCACAACAATTTAATTAGGTTGTTCAAACCAGCCCGAGTACCAAGTATTCACATAACCTAAAATAAGGGGCTGTTTGTTTGGCTCTTAATGGTGACATTAAGAGCCAACCTCTTTATCGGTAAGAGGTAAGGAGTGTTTGGCAAAAAAAATTAAGCCTCTTAATGGTTACATAACCCTCTTAACCATTTTGCATCCAATGGGTCACTAAACCATTCAGACTTCTATTTTCCCAAGTTTACCCTTCCCACCCCTTCTTCCCAACCCCTCTCTTCACGCACCTTCTTCCTCCTGCTTTTTCTTCTGGTAATCTTCCTCAGATCATCTTCTTCATCTCCATCTCCATCTCCTCAATCTACCAAAATACACTCAGATGCAGACTTACGAATCAACCCATCATCTTGCCCTCCACAACAACACACAATGGCTCTACCCACTGCTCCTTCCCACTCCCCTGTTCGTTGCCATTTTCCGTCACCGGCGACAACCGGCCGACAAACAGCCCCTATCTACTCTACTCTCTCTACCGTTCCTTTCCATTTTTCGTCGCCTTCACCAGAATCTCTCTATTTTGACCATCATCGTCTTCACCATCTCTGGAATGGCATCGGCGCCTAGGCCCGCCTCTGTTTTGACCTCCATTTCTTTAACAGTCGGCAATGGCATCGGCGCGACGAAATCGGTAGATCCCATAACATCTCCTTCCCGACGGCGACAATCCTTAGATCCCATCAACGAAATCGGTAACGTCTCATTCCAGGAAAAACATAACCCAAATCCAAAAGTGAGTGAAACCCTAAATCAAAACCACAAAAAGTCTCTTCTGTATTGAAATCAAAATTAAATCATAGAACCCAAAAATAAAATCGAGGGTTAAGAACTGTGATAAGAAAAGCACACCCAGATATGATTTTATGTTCATGTGCAGTTCCATTATCATGAAGAAGCAGTCAATGGTAACTATTGAGTAGCCAAATTTGGGCAACAACCAGTTGGTTGGGGAAAATTCTGAAATTTGTTAAGGGTTAAAATGGTAATTTGTTGTCATTCAGAGAACAATTACCAAACAACTTTATTTCATTCTGCACTTAACAATTCTGACCCTCTTAACTATTCTGACCTTTTAATTATTCTGCACTAAATCATTCAGCAACTGTCAAACAGCCCCCAAGTAATATATGCTAAGAAATGGATCACATTAATTAAGAGAGTAGAAAAAGGAACAAAATCACAATATTCGATAAATAAAAAAAGTAAAATGACCAAAATGTCCTCGTATGAGGTGTATTACGTCAACACGTGAAGGACACTTAGTCGAAGACATTTAATGTCAGGTACGATGAGTGACCAATTTCGTAACAAAATAGAAATAACAAGAAAATATTTGTAATAAACAGAGTGTAGCTAGTTAATTCTTAAATAAACGTTATTTCTTGATATTGCATAAAATGATCAAATGTCATTAAATCTATTCTCTTCATTTTTATTAAATAAAATTGGAAAACCCATTAATTAATTGATCTATAAAATACAAAGTTATTGATGATAATAATAATAATTGTTTAACCATAAGGGTGGTGTTCAATTGGTTTAAACTTGAGCTCCAAAGATCAAAAGTGTCTGGTGGTCTCATGTTCGAATCCAACGAGTAATAAAAACCCCTTTGTGACCACGAAGGTCCAAAGGGATCGAGGAGTAATTCTTTAACATGCATGTACGCTACACTAAACATTATCTTTTAATTTAACGAGGGATTGTACTCCTTTAATGTACCATAAGATATTTTTATTTCGTTTTTTTCCAACTTTATTATATAAATTTATGTGGTTTTGTTGTATTAATACTTATTTTATATTCGGATATTTTATTATAACAATTCAAAGATTTTATATGTATTATTAATTTGTACGTAATGTATTAATACATGTATTCATGAAAAGAAAAACTTAAAAAGGTAAAATCAGAATGTTCCATAACATAGTATAGATAATTAATGTAGTATAATTGATGAAATCACGTATACTGAAAACTGACACGTATTACACACAAGAATACTTGGGCAATCAATCAGCCAATTATGTATAAACTAGAAGGATACTCGTGCAATGCATCGAGACATATCTCGATTCCAATGTTTCATTTTATTCTTTATCTATGTCGATATAATACGTTTTTATGTAATTTTGAGAAAACGATAATGTTTTTTATTTTTAAATAAAATATCATAAAAATTTGAAAAAAATATATCGATATTAATATCAAATTAACTATTTAAAAGTTCTTATTTTGTGTATTTTTTTAATTAATTTTTTTTTATTATAAATTGATTTAACGTGACAAAGTAATTTAATTTTGGTTTAATAATATTTAATAAAGATAACAATTAAGTATTCTATTTAAACTCAATGATTATCCTAATTATATTTTAGATTTTTTATATTTAAAATGAGATGTTTATCCAATATTTGATGATATTTATCTGCAGTTAGTTAGACGAATTCAAGTATGAAACTTTGTACTTATGCACAATTTACTTGTAATCTTAAATTTTAAGTAATATGCATCAATAAACAGTAACTCGTGCATAAAAAATCATTTTTAAGAGTTTTTTTTCAAATGATTTATAATATAGTATAGATAAGTTGTCTTTATTAGTGTATTTGTAGCTAAATACTTTGAGAACCCTTTATATTGTGATAACCGTGAGAACTATTATCGTAAGGTATTGTTCGGTTTAAAATTTAGTATACCGATTAACATATATTTGGTTCACAGTGTGAAAAAATTTAGTTGTAATTTTTGTTTCACAAACACCTAAAAGTTGTTCAGATTGTAAAACAAATACATGTTAATCTGTACACTAAATCAAAGCCATTGATGAAAAAAAAGTCATATGAGATAGCACATGAAACACTGATTTTTAAGGTTATCACAATTTTATAAGTTTTCAAATGAATATTAATCTATTAATTATAAAACTATAATCACCATGAATCCGATGGTTAATAAACTAATTTCACTATATATATCTTTATAGGTGAAAGTTTAATTAAGAACACGTATTCATTTACTTGACTTGTAACTTAGGTTGTGTTAAAAGTCGTTTACATCTTTGATTTAGTATCATATGTGATGAAATACAGTATTAAATGTATCTGAACATAATACATAAATGCTTTTATATTTTCTTAAAATTAATATATTCTGGTTTGAATCCTTAGTGTTTGACTTATAATTTCATGCAAATTCAAGAGTAAAGTGGTTGCATTTGCATACATCATACATAATGACTATAGAATGTAATTCACGTCTCTAAACTCATTCATTCAATCAACATACATATACATATACATATATATATATATACATATATATATATATATATATATGTGACATGAACCTCCATCCAATTTCATAACCAGCTTCAATTTCTCTCCAACAAATTCAAGAAAATGGAGGATTTTGATCTATTCTTTGAATCTGAATCACCCTCTCTCACTCCAATCTTTGAACAACCACCGCCCTCCTCCTTATTATCACCACCACCCTCCACAGACAACCACCTATTTACACCACTGTCACCCTCACTTGCTCCTCCTCCACCACCACCCCTCTTTAATCCACAGATGTCACCACCGTCACCAATGACCACCACCTTCTTTCATCCTTCACAGATCTCCCCACCGCCACCATCACCATCACCTTTCTTTGCTCATTCACAGACGTCGCCACCACCATCATCCGTAGCAACCGTCTTTACTCCTTCACAGATATCGCTACCACCACCACCACCACCTATGACCACTATGTTTGCTCCGTTACAAATATCGTCATCACTACCACTATCCACCACCTACTCTAATTCTCTTTTTGCACCATCCTTCCAGACACCAAACTTCTACATACCACCACCACCACCACCTCCTCCTCCAAACACCACCACCACCGGCAAGAAGCGTAAGGACAGCAAGGTTAACGGCCGTGGGTTACGTGTGAGGCTGCCGATTCCCTGTGCTACCAACATATTCAGACTCACGAAACAGTTGCAGTTTAAAAGCCCCGGTGAAACCGTGATGTGGCTTCTCCAGGAGTCTGAACCAGCCATCATAGCTGCTACAGGTTCCGGCACCATCCCCGCCGGGTTCTCTACCTCCACCGAAGCCACCACCCATCAACACCTTTCCCCACCAATCTCCACCACCGGCTACATCCCTCCCAGTGCCGGTGACCACCCAGAAATGAACAACTCTTTTTTCTATTTGGGTGATGGTGACGAATAAGAAAACTAGTTGACTAAGAAAGAATGATGACCCAAGAATCGTTCATCATTTTCTTTAAACTTTCCATGGGTCTTTTTCATATTTCCCTTTAGGGGTATATACTTAATTAGGGTTTCTTTTTCTTTTCTTTCAATGATGATCATTCAAATCTTAGTTATATATATATATATATATATATATATATATATATCCTATAGCAAAAGTAGGGTTATGAACATGTAAATTGAATGATTACTGTTGAAAGTTTGTACAGTAATATATGATCGTCTCCTTCTTTTTAGCTTTTTATGGGTTGTGATCATTGACATTTTGATGATTTTAGAGTTAAATGATCAATCTAGCTAATGGAAGAGATAAAGACTATGAACACGATTTAATGCGCGCACACACACACTTGTTTCAAATTAAAAATAAAACTATATATATGAACTGCATATGATTTTCATTTCATCGATTTGATGCTTGAGGAACTCCGATTGGCAAGAAACTGATACAAGTCAAAATAAAAACCCTAATCCTCCATGACATCAACAGAGGGAGGACGACGGTCGTGGGTGGTGAAAATGAGGGACGATATATATAGGTGAAGGTTCAAACGAGAACCCATGTGATTTACGAGAACGCGAGAACAACCCAATAACTTCAAACTTTTTTAATTAATAAATTAACTTTTATTATATATAAATAATTTAATAAGGACAATAATGTAATTAAATAATTTTTATAATTTTTATTTTATTTTAATTAACCATAATTATCTTTTCACGTTCCATGTTTTTCTCTTGGTAGTTATCTTCTTCTCCTTCGTAAATGATAATCTCCATGGCTTAACATATTTTCTTCATATCACACCTCTATCACATAAGTATCACACTCATATCATATGATTATTTAACATCTTTTCTTCATATCACACCTCTATCACATAAGTATCACACTCATATCATATGATTATCACACTCATATTTTATGATTACACCAAAATTTTAACTTATCAATCAAAACGATAACCCAAGTGATGTATAACAGTGATTATCACACCCTTATCACATGATTATCACACCCTTATCACATGATTATCACACCCAAATCACATGATGACACCAAAATTTTAACTTATCAACCAAAACGTTAACCCAATTGATGTATAACGGTGATTATCACACCTCTATCACATAAGTATCACACCCCTATCACATGATTACACCAAARTTTTAACTTATCAACCAAAACGATAACCCAAATGATGTATAATGGTGATTATCACACCCCTATCACATGATTATGACACTCATATCACATGATTATCACACCTAGTACAATCCTAACCTATTTCGTAACCGTTTAAAAGATTTGATAAGACTAATGATAATAATGATCGTGTTTAAAAGATTTGATGTTCCATTATTATCCTTTTAATTTTAATTTTTTTTAAATCTTTTTAAATTTTAATTTTATTTTTTTATCACAATATGAGGTTATTGGGTTGTTCTTGCGTTCTCGTAAATCACAGGGGTTCTCGTTTGAACCCTTCCCTATATATATATATATATATATATATATATATATAGGGGAGCGTTCAAATGCAAACCACTCAATTTGTACAAACCGTGCAAACCGCATTCAACCAATCATAATTTTTCATTTTGTTCATTTTTTTGTAATTATGAGAGGTTGATTAATCATTTTTATTGTGGAGGGTGTTAATCATAGATATTATCATCTTAATTATTTTAATTTTAGAGAAATACATGAAACAGTTTCATTAATGTTAGAGAAATACATGAAACAGTTTCATTAAGTATTATATGAAACAATTTCACAAGATTAAACAATGAAATCGACAGATGAAAGTGGTTTGCACGGTTTACACAAATGAGAGCGGTTTTCATATGATCACTCCTCTATATATATATATATATACATATATACATATATATCCACTAACCTGAATTTACCAAATTGTGGATACCGGAGTTTTTAAGAGACGATCGGAGAGAGAGAGAGATGGATCATGAATGGTTATGAGTGTGGCTGTTGTTGTTAGTGATTTGTATCACCAATATCGTTTAAGTGTAATGAGATTAATTTGTTGACCAATTTAATCTTGATAGATATTGAACAAGTAAGAGTAGTGTAGAGTGCACACTTGTTTGAGTTTATTTTGATTTAAAATATACTGTAATTTAGGGGCGAAGCTCCTAAATGACGGGCTCCGGGGTAGCAAGGTCCAAGGGGTGGCAACCCCTAGCGGGGTCCATGGAAAATACACGAAAATCCGAAATTTGTGATTTTGAACCCGGTTTTTGGTCATGTTTTTTAAACCTGGTTTGGTGGTTCTGAAACTACCGTTTTGACAGTTTTTGATTTCTTTTTCGTATTTGTCATTTGATTTTCGAGGATACAAATAGATTCATAACATCGATTCTCTATTCGAATTACTAAATTTTATCTGATTGAAGTTTTGATTGTACCATCGAAACATTTCAATCTGAAAGTGAATCACAACTTTCAGTAATCCAAGCAATCGAAACACCCAGACCAGAAATTCTAACAGCTGTGACAATGGTATGGCGGTGGCTTTGGGTTGTTTCCGGTGGCTTTGTCGGTAGGAATTGACACTATCAGCAAAATTTAATGAGAATATTACGATGGTTCAAAATCTTATTTATTTTCTATTTTATTATAAAAAGTATGACAATAGTTTTGACTTTTTTTCTTTCTCGAAGGGTGTCTCATGTCATTCCTAAATTAATTACCATAAATTATGAAGATAAAAATTTAAGCTTGATAAACTCAGTAGCCACAATTGTTATGTATGTATAAAATAGAACCGTGAACAGATGACGAGGGTTTAATATCAAAGATATGAAGTATGTTTTTCATCTTCCAAGATATACGATCAATATAATTATAATGAGGTTTTATCACTCTCGTTAGAATCATTAAACACGTAAATCGTATCATGTTTAGTCAAATAACGAGTTCCCGAAGGATCCCTAGTTGTCTGAGTCGTTCATTTCTACTTAACAATATTTTTGTTTAGATTTTAATGAAATGATTTCTATAACTGATATGGGATCGAGTGTTTAACTGTTATCAAATATCAGTTTAATCTATACTGAAGTTCTTTATTAATTTGTATAGTAGCATCAAAGAGGCGTAGCTTGCTTAGTGCAGGAGTTGTAGGGTTTTAGACTACGCTCTTAACGTGTGTTATCGTACCTGTTATTTTCTATTGTTAAATCTATCGCACTTTCTTGTATAATTTCTTCGAAGTTCTAATACCACTTATTGCCATCTCGCCGTATACTCAAGGAAATGTAGGGTTACACCACGTTTTACTGTCTAACTATGAGATTTCGGTTACGACGAAAAACAATGTGGTTTTATCAATCTCAACTCTGAAGTTATCAAACATATCCATGTATAATACTCGTAACGATTCTCTTTATTAGGATTCCGAAGGCGCTTTATGAACAGATAGTATCGTTATGGTATGTACGTAATCTAACATATTACATCTAATTAAATTGAACCGTTTCTTTCATAAATACCATACATTTTTCATCATCATTCACCAATGGATTCGTTATAAAAGATTCAGATCTCTACATCTATTTAAAAAGACCATTTCATTTGATCTGACACCGGATTAACATCTAAAAAACATTTTTTTTATTAACCTGGATGTCCAACCTGCTATGCGAGCTGACTAATCTCAGGGCGACCACCTGCTTTGTAGATAGCCCGAAGTCACCGCATTTGAACCTCCGTGTGGTGACTGATTGGTTTGAGATTGGCTCCAAAGGTCAAAAGTACTTGGAGGTCTCATGTTCAAATCCAAGGGGGAATAAAAATCCTCTTGTGGCCATGAAGGTTCAGATGCGGTGATTCCGGACTATCTGCAAAGCAGATGATCATTCTGAAATTAGTGAGTTTGCATAACAAGTTAGATATCCGGGTTAATAAAAAGAAGAAGCATATAATAACATTTATTGTGCGTAAAGAGTTCCACTGTTGATTGGTTGGATTGAGAGCTCGTACAAATTAATATGACGTAAGAGTTCTTTTTTATTAAAAAAATTGTATATTCATAGAATTTCTATTTTTAGAAAAAAGGGTATTTGACGGTGGGTTTTCAAAACTATTATAATGGCTTACATAAGCGAATTTTAGGTTTGTCTAACCATTAATTTCAATTGACTCTATGATTTCTATCCACGAGTATTCAACCAAAACTAGAAAGTCCATCACATCTCTCCCCGTTAAATTAAAAAGTCAACTCATCCAAAAGACTCAGAATTGTTATCACCGTTCCCACAATAACTTTCATTCTCACACAATCCCTCTACAAAACGTCTACCTTTTTAACATATTTAAATACATTATTACACAGACATATTTAAAAACATTATTACACAGACATCCTACAAAATCCTATAAAATATCCATTACCCCATGAGATTCTAAATCTCATTTTTGTGGGGTTTCATCAGAATCCCGAAAATTTCATTTCCTTTGAACCAAACACTACTGGATGTAGGTAAAAGTAAAAAAAGGTTCAAATGCGGTGTCTGATTGGTTTGAGTTTGGCTCCAAAGGTCAAAAGTACCAAAATGTTCCAGGTTCAAATCAAAGGAGAAATAAAAATTCTCTTGTGACCACGGAAGTTCAAATGCGATGACTCCGGGTTATCTGCAAAGCAAGTGGTCGTCCTGGGATTAGTCGGCTCACATAGCGGGTTCAATATTTAGGTTAATAAAAAAAAACACTACTGCAAGTTGGTCCATCTAATGCCACCATTATAATATAACCATGCCAATTAAAAGGGAAACAGAATTAAGCAAGTGTTCATCAGCATCAGCATCAGCATCTGGTAGCTTTTAAAAGAACCAAAAAAACAGGGCTGTACATGATGATGTAAAATTATATATATAAACTTATTAATTTGCTGCTATAGATGTTAATTAACTAAATAAGAATGCCATCTCTGCCTGCAAACAGATCCTTTCTTCCTCTCTTTCAATCCAGATATGCCTGATGCCTGTGTTTAAAATTCCACCACCTTCTCTTCCTCCTGTATTCCGGAGGCGGCAACTCTGTTCCAACCAAATTCCGTCATCATTTAACCATACATGTAAACGACAGAAAACCCGATTCTTCTGATGTAAAACTAGAATACAAGTGTGTTATAGTTGATCAAAAGGACCAAACTGACCTCCTTCAGGATAGATCGAGTTGTAGTGCACCTCTGCCCAAAAGCTCAAGAATATGACTGCAAAACTTGCAAACTTGTTACCAATTATAAAGATTAATGCTAGCTTTCCAATGACCCTTGATTTTGCAGCTTAATGAGACTCACAGCTTATTCAGTCAGCTATACATGACTGTGGGTCGTGGCTTAATGATACAAAAAACGGCTTATTCAGTAAGCTTCTAGTGGGGAGCTTTATGCAGAAAGCCAAGTTTTTTTCAAACATGCCCCTCCCGTTTAAAAAATACAGTCCTTTCATTAATGAAAAAACCCTCCCAAACAAAAACCTTCCAAATCTATATAGACACAGATTAATCCACACTGACAACGTAATCCATACAGGACTTAATGGAAAACCAACCAAACATCCCCATAGTCAAGATTTAAGGAGGTCTCTTTAGGTGTAACAGTAACAAAATCAATGTTAACTATAAAGATAAAGATTTGAACATTACCCCGCTTTGATTTCTGCACTTTCGGAAGAATCTCTATGGAACAAGTATCTTTGAATGAGGTTAGAACAAAAATTTTGACCCCATACTGCATATAGCATAGAGTTCTATAAGTAACAACTCGATTCTAACATCCATATAAAGATGACAAAGAGATGGTCATCATACCGAATCTGCGGCAGCTTGCAAGGTGACATGATCTCCCCATTCTCCACTCCTACAATCATATGCGTATTTCGTGATGAGTTGAAATAGAAAAAAGGAATGCGGAACAAAACAAGGTTGTTGACATACTTGGAAATCCTTTTTAAGTAGTCGCTGTATGCCATGGGGACATATCCCTCGTATATCTCTGGATGCAACTTAAGCTGATATATGTAAAATATGTGCATATCAGAAACCGTAACAAACCTAAATATAAGTTTCAACAGCTATCATTTGAAGAAAACCTGATTAACCACTTGTCGTCTCACAAATTTATGATGCTCTGGTGAACGGTAGAATTGGTCTGATAGAGCACGAAACTAGAGAAGAAAGTTTGTGATTCATGAGTTCCATAATGACTAGACTAGAATCTAAAAAGAGGTGGTAAAATATAATAAAAGTTTTCATTTCCATAAGTTGCTAAATACAGCATAGCATTACTTATCAAGAAATAAAGAAACATACTGATCATAATCTAACATACAAAACCCAAAAGGGAGGACAATACCGACCTGACAGTTACCGTCACCTTGAACTTTAGACTCGATCAAGTTATATAACTGCAACCTGAAAGCAAACACGTCCGGCATCAAATATACACATGCTTTTTATCTATCTCGAGTAGGAAAGAAAAGGAAGAGTGTCATGTATAGATTTTTTTTTTCTTATTCTCGAGTTGGAGAGAAAGGGAAAGAAAGCCGACAACTTTACACTCATACCTTTTTTGTGTAAATAACTATAACATCTCATAGGTTTAGTTTAGGTCATAGGTAGTTTGGTTGTTGAAAATATTATAACGCATTTGTTTTGCTCTCTCTCCAAATCTTCCCACATTTGGGTGGCAAGTTTTGGAGAGAAAATCAACCAGAATTTTCACTTCCGTTCCTCTCTCATTTCCCCCAAAAGAAACCGAGAACATGAATTTTTTACTTCTCACTTCCAAGACGACAACTTAACTCTATATGAGCATATTGGTTATGTTCGACATATGATATATCTATTTCCAACAAATTTTAGCAGTTTTAACCAACAATATAGTAAAAGATATCTGAAAACCTGTCTAACAGCCTCTGATGATCAGTAGTAGCTTCATCAACCGAAGGTATGTCTCCGTTAACTTTGGGAACATGCTGCATGAGGTAAAAAGATGTCGTTACTCTAATATATTGCAAATATTGGATGCTTCTTCTTAGGAGAAGCTAACCTATTAATGAGAAATATCCCAACTCTTTATTCTTTGCTGTTAGGAAATCTCGATGTTAAAGTAAGACTCTAAAATTGGTTTGTTGAAGAGCACGTTATATCTGATACTTCCTTAATTACATTTACAAGATTTATATATTCATATAACCACATAAATACTTCTTATGAAGCAACGATATTTGAGTTAGGCTGTCATTTCCACTCTGGGTGTGAACTAGGTGCAGGTCCAACTTCCCTATACAAGGATGCACACCCCTTTATTTTAATTAATACAAGTAATTTGGATACGACTAAGCCGAATTGGATGTGTCTTGGTTACTGGTGAGATAGCTTGTGCATGTGAATTAGAAACATGAAGTATTCACAACTCTTCAAATAACTAGACTTTTGATGTCACATTTTTCTACTTCTATCATCTCCTTTCCTTTTCTCTATGGTTATTTATTCCATACACACTTGTTTGTTGCATGCCAAGAGTGCTGGTTGTTTCTAGTTCAGATTTTCTTGATATTCTTGGACTTTTTTATGTTCTAGTAGGACACATCATACAAATAGAACTTGAGCACCAGGTACTTTCATATGTTCTTGTTTATGTTCTCGATTTCAGTATTTTTTAGAACTATTATTACACTCAATACACATAATTTCCCATATTTCCTACTTTCATGTATTAGTGTGGATGCTCATAATGACCACACATGAAGTAGGTCGATTACGTATTCTCCAAGGTACAAGAGGACAAAGCTGAAATGAGTAAGGAACACAAGAGGACTGCAAATAATCTATATATATATATATATATATATATATATATATATATAATATAGGGTCAGGGTCAGGTTCAGGGAAAACTGCAAAAAAATGAAAATTTGAGGAACACCCTGGTAACTGTTTATGTAGATGGTATGCACATGTGCGTAGAAGTATTTTGTAAGCAATTTGTCCGGTATGCACATGTGCATAACATGCGTACGTGCATAAAAAACCGAAAACAACTTCAATTACTTGTATATGCACATGTGCATAGTGTCCAGATGAATGATTACCAGGGTGCTCCTCAGTTTTGTATTTTTTTTGGAGGTTTTTCCCTAAACCTCCCTTTCTCTCTCTCTCTCTCTCTCTCTCTCTMTMTMTMTATATATATATATATATATATATATATATATATGCATGCAACATGGCAGAGTTCACATAGAAGATAATCGAGTGTGTAATGCACATTATGGGCATAACCATTGTCCCTGATCTCACTAGTTTGGGGGTGAAGTGTGAAATCATCTGATTTAGCTCAGCAGTTCCATTTTCCCCTTTATCCTCATGCTATTAGTTCTCATTCACCAAAATGGGTATTTTACAGTTCTTTTTTCTCACTTTTAATTCACACAAAACACAAGAAACAAAACCATTGCCAAACAAGGCTAAGCAATTCTGGTTTATTACTGCTAGAAGTCTAGAATTTTATCTCCGTTTCAGGCTACCATATTTTATCATTTTGTCTTCTCTCGAATCTTTAACATTACGGGATTTTGGCCAATCATAAGGTTACTGGACCAGCAGGCTACAAATTAGCTCAAGGCACTGCTCCTGATTACGGTATTAAGTTGATGCTGTGAAGAGTTAAACCATCTAGTTGAATACAGTAGTTCAACTTACCACTTCTGCTCATTTTCTTTAATAAAATGGAATATGAATAGACATTTCAAAGAGCTAAGCTGAACAAATATACTTTCTGCACTTACAGGAACAGGGACAATTTCATTCAATCTTTTGCCTACTTCTCCATCAAGCTCGGACTCATCTGTTATCTCTAGATTGTAGGAATACTCATCCCCATCATAAGATCTGTTTCCGGGACTAGAGCACGCACTCGATGGTCCCATTTCCTCTGTTTCCTGCAACCTGGACTCATCACCTGCTAATAAAAGACGACATGTAACTTTTTGCGTTCTTCAGAATTTTGATGATTAGAGATTAAAGAGAAACTTACCATAATAGTAATTATCTGATGAGGGACCATACCAGTCTTGAGTATCAGAAGATGTTTGTAAATGCTCCACTGGATTGGATACTTGCAGATGGTCCTGCACTACATTGGATGGTTCATTTTCATCTGTAATCGAGAAATCCAGTAGTTCTTGTTGAAGAGAGTGAGCCAGCATTTCATCATTTTCGACATTGTTAAATTCATTCTCTTGATAACCACCTCCATTATACTGTTCATGACAGATGTTCATATCTTGTTGGTTGCTATCACCATAATAAGTAGAACTAAAGATTTGGTCTACATCAAGGAAATGAAGACCCCATTTAACAACATCTGAATCTGGTTCGCACATATTTTATCTCCTTCAGAACACCAGAGGGCTCACTAAAACACTAAAACTCAAACTGCACTGATCTTGTCAAGAACGGCAATTGGGTGTTTCCTAATGTCAAAATACAATCAGAGCTTCAACCTCGATCAAGTATTCTCCCTGAAATTTAAAACCGATACCATATTCAACATTGGGAAAGAAGTAACAAATTTTCATGACAGAAAGTACATCAACACAACCACATATTCAAGTGTTCAAAAATTGTATCACGGATGCAAACCATATTGGAAGTAGTCTAAATTAATCTATTTCTCATAACAAGAATGTTAATTAGCATCAAGTTAAAAAAAGATTGTGCATCACATATGGTTACCTAAATGACCTAGTGGCATAAAGATGTTTTGCACAATGAATGGCATTTCATACAAACTGTATATTCTCCTAACCCTCACCATCCTTCTCAGGGTGCCCACATCACATGCTGCATCAGGTTAACACACCATCGTATGCTATTCTATCACTCACATCAGAAATTATCTGGTTTTAGGAAATGTATACCAACTCATCATTACTTGTATATGTTTCAATAACATTCATCAAACAGGCACATATCTATATCTGCCCATACTCCCTGCATTCCTCAGGCACCCCAAACTATTGTCAATGGTTGCATGACTGAATTCCCTCAAAAATCTAATGAAGCAACCATAAATGTTTTGCTGAACTCATGATTTCACATAAGTTTTCCATTCAGTGTTCTACAGTACGAAAAAACCAGGTACCTACTAGACAAGAATCATGCACTTTGCACATAAGTAGAACCATAGTTTGCTCTCTTTTTTCTTTCATTTTCCAAGTGCTTTCAGAACTACCTAAGCCAGAAACTATAGCCAACAACAACCCAAGGATAGGGATAAAAACGCCAAAAAGATGAAAAACTGAGGAACACCCCGGTAAACATCCATTTGGACGGTATGCCCATGTGCATACAAGACCACACTTCTAAATTCCAAAGAGGGCATCAACACCAATCAACTAAATTCAATATGTGCAAGAACAGGAATACAAAATTTCTCTATATTTCAAGTTTTATTTTAATAAAATACCAGGATGATTACCCCTTACCATCGACTTCATGAATGGATGTTGCAAATTTGGTACTTGATAACATTCATCAAAACACTAGCAGAAAATTTTCAGAAGAAAGGATCAAAGTAGTCTACAGTAATACTATTAACCCCTTCCAAAAATTGAACATACTTGGCCATTTATATGAACCACATCACATCTCGAATCAAATTCCGGAATCTGATTGCTAGAATTTGGAAAAAAGAAGCACGTACAACACACACAAACATGAATCGACTAAATACACATACCTATACGAGAGATGAAGTAAAAGTAATCGAAAACTTAAGCATTAAGAATTCTGAAAACCAATCGGGAAAAACCAAAAACAAAATCGATTTTCATGGTTGATCTTGAATTCAATTTGAGCAGCAAAAAGGTAACCAAAAATGAACATGATCCGAAATAATTTCACAAAGAGGATGAGTACAATTATTTAAACAAGAAACAAACAAAATAAGTACAACTTTAATTACCAATGGGTGTCAGACAATCACCTTCATGTCTGATTGAAGTTGAGAGGTTGAATCTAAATGCAATTCACCCACCAAAACAAAGATACAAGAAATGAAAATATGTGTATATATATATATATATATATAGAGAGAGAGAGAGAGAGAGAGGAGACTGTATATATATAGATATAGATACAGAGGAGGGAAGATGGAGAGATTGGACGCGGGGAGGAGATAACGATGAAAGAAGGAAGGAAGAAGAAGAAAACGTGAAGGGGGGAGAATGGTGGTGGTATATATACAGTTGCACGGCGTTAAAAGTCGAACACGTTTCTTCCCGACGGCGTGTATTTTTTGGTATTTTCTTTTTTCTTTTTCTTTTTTTGTTTTTTCAATCATTAATTACTAGAGACAAATCATATATTTACATATGATTAAGACCTTTAATTACATTTTTTAAACTGATTTTGTTAAGATTATATGATTAATCAAATATTATATTACTTTTTAATTTACATAAATAGCTAGAGCTGATAGGTGGCAATGGCATCACTTTTTAGCTATTTTCTAACCCAAATTATCTTTTTAGTTAATTCTTATGCATAAGGCTTAAGGATATGTCTAAGCATCAGTTTTTGACAAAATAATAATCCTTAACCACAAGAGTGGTGCTTGATTAGTTTGAGCTTGACTCCAAAAGTCAAAAGTACTAAGAGGTATCAGGTTCAAATCCAATGAGAAATAAAAACCACATTGCGGCCACGGAGGTTCAAATGCGGTGACTTCGGAATATCTGCAAAGCAGGTGGTCGCCCTGAGATTAGTCGACTCGCATAACGGGTTGGATATCCAGGTTAATAAAAAAAAGATTCCACTTTCATGCGTAAGGATTCTTATTTTTATTTTTCTGTTGAAAACCAATCATTATATGTATGTGTGAGTGTGTTGCGTGAAGATTGACTAAAAAGTGAATTTGGGTCAGAAAATGACTAAGAGTATGTGTGGAAAATTAGCTGATAAGCTAGCTGGTAGTTGATGAATAAATCATGTTTGACAAAACTAGTTGATGAAAATGTAAGATCAAAAAGAGTATCTTTAAAAATTAATCAATTATAATATTTCAAAATTTAATTGAAACAAGTCTCTAATAATATTATATATTAACTAATACAAACAAGATGGTAAAAAAATATAAATCTATACTATATTATAAAGTATTTGACAAAAAAAACTTTTAAAAACTACTTTTTATGCATAAAGTACTGCTTATTAATGCTTGTTACTTAAAACTTAAGATTACAAGTAGATTGTGCGTAAGTACAACTTATTAAAGCTCCATATATGAATTTGTGTAACTAACTGCAGATAAACATAACCAAATACAAGATAAACATCTTATTTTAAATATAAAAAATTTAAAATATAATTAGGATAATATTGAGTTCTAACAGAATACTTAACTATTATCTTTATTTATATTATTAAACCAAAAATAAATTATTTAATTATTAAACTTAAATTTAATTAAAATAAATAAAGAAATTACATAAAAATGATAACTTTTAAATAGTTGATTTGATATTAACATCGATATATTTTTTTCAAAATTTTATGATATCTTCAAATGTATATTTTATTCAAAAATAAAATCATTATTGTTTTTTTAAAAACACATAAAATCGTATTATAACATCGATAGAGACAAAGAATAAAATAGAACATTAAAATCGAGATGTATCTCGTTGCATTGCGCGAGTACCCTTCTAATATTGATTAAAAGGATTTTAAATTGATTATTTTATATACTATAATAGAGTAAATTACAAATTTAGTCCCTATGGTTATTAAGTTTTTTGGATTAGGTCCCTCCAACAAAACAATTACATGTATGGTCGACATGGTTTCATTTTTATTATGGATTGGGTCTCTTGCCTTAACTCCACTAATCAATGCTCAGTCGTCTTTTTATAAATTATACTTATTATATTAAATATTAAATATTATATATTTTAATAAAACATTAATCGTCCCTATCTATCAAGGCTTCCCCCTACCCTGACGTTGACTTCCCGCTTCTGGCTATACACCCAAATCACCGTCGACATCTCCGGGAACCCCCTACCGCACGACAGCGAAAACCCTCCAGCCCCCTTTCCGCCAAGGAAACCTCGTCTCCTACCCAAGCCCGGCCAGGGGCTGTGATGACAAACGCCATCAGCATCAAACACCTCGTCCTTAAAATATATTCATGAATAAAATTTAAAACCAATACTTTATATATTATTTACGTCTCCATCGAAGACATCGTATTTGACAATGATATTATGTAACAAATAAATAAAATATCGAATTTGACAAATATATTATATTTAATTTTAATTTGTCAAACTAAAAGGGTACTCGCACAATACAGCGAGATAAATCTCGTTTTTTAATGTGTAGTTTTTATGCTTTGTCTCTATCGATATGATACGATTTTATTTGGTTTTGAGAAAGCAATAATGTTTTTATTTTTGAATGAAATATAAATTTGAAGATATGAAGTTTTAATAATTTGTACTTACGCACAATCTACTTATAGTTTTGAGTTTTAAGTAATATGCATTAATAAACAGTACTTTACGCATAAAAAATGGGTTTTAAAAGTTTTTGTCAAATGTTTTATAATATAATATAGATACGTTGATATTTTAATTTTATTTGTTACATACATTATATTGTATTATAATTAGATATAATTAAATATTTAATATTCTCATTAATAACTAATTAATATGTTTAAATATTTGGGCTTCTTATGTATATTGGACTCTTAAACCTTTCGTCTAACAGGTCAATGTGTTTCGATTTGACTTTCAAACGGTGCATAAGAGACATATCATTTGGTTTTATGAAATTGTTTAATCTTGTGAAATTGTTTCATATAATACTTTTTTTTGATAAATTTGTTTTATATATGGTTATGAAATTGTTTCATATAATATTTAATGAAATTTTAATGAAACTGTTTCATGTATTTCTCTAAAATTAAAATAATGAAGATGATAATATCCATGATTAACACCCTCCACAATAAAAATGGTTAATCAACCTCTCATAATTACAAAAAAAAAATGAACAAAATGAAAAATTATGATTGGTTGAATGAGGTTTTCACGGTTTTTACAAATTGAGTGGTTTTTATTTGAACGCTCTCATATATATATATATATATATATATATATTTGTAAAACGGCAAATTGCATAAAAAAGTAACATATTTTAACTTGATTCCTATTTAAATAACCTACTTTTAAAACTTTTATTTTGATATATAAGATGTGATATTCTAAACATTTAAGTACATGAATAACTTTAAAACTAGGTTTTATAATCCGTCGGTCAATTGAAGATAACCTTAAAACCAGGTTTTACTAAAATTTAAAAAGAAAAAACACCATTTTCAAACAAATAATCATATCATACCAACTCGATGCTAATCACCAATAAACGGATCTTTTTAGATATATCACGTCACGTGACATAAAATTTAGTACAAAAATAAATTATTTTATTGCCGATTAAATATCCAAAACAAAATAGATAAATTTTTATAAACAATAATCAATGTCATTAATATCTGTACCTAGGGGTGTTCATGGGTTCAGTTGATTAGGTTGAAAACATTTGAACAACTTAATCTAATGTTTGCGTTTTGAAAATCTTTAACCCAACCTAACTCAAATCAAAGTGCAACCCAAACCAACCCAAACTGTACGAGTTGATATTTTGGTACATTAATATCATCTCCTAACCTTGTATACATATTTAAATACGTTATTTCTCTACTCATAATTTTTTTAATCATCAACCATTTGATATAAGTTAGACATACTTCTTAAATCTTATGTATATCACATTCAATTAATTTTCTCAATTTACATATATATGTACATAGTTACTGAACATGTATACAAATGAGTTATATAGAGATGAAAAATAGATTGAAAATATGTGTATATGAAGAGTATACATAATGGTAATGGTGTAATTGTCTAATGTATATATTAAATATAAACTTAACAATCATATTAAATCCAATATATAAAGGGATATCGCATTCATCGGGTTGTGTTGAGTTCAAATAATAGTAACTCAATACTTACACTTTGAAAATTTTACAACTCGGTTAGACATCGAGTTGCTTTGGATTGAGTTATTCTATATTGAGTCTGGTCGGATTGGTCGAATTTTTAAGCACCTCTATCCGTACCATCTCACTCCGGTACGAGCCAGAAAAATACGTCATGTCATGTAATGATTATAAATAATCTTTAAAAAATGTATTTAATTTTTGATTTTATATTAAAATGTTTAATTAATTATGGACAAAAACGTACACTTGGTCGTAAGTTTATCCAGACAAAAAAAAAAACTAATAATCAATTTAAAAATTATATATTTAATTAAATGGAATTTATTAATTATTTAGTTTGGTCATTGTCCCTGTGGTGTACTTTTTGTCACCATTCCACCATAAGACGCTCGTGATTTCCGCGTGAATTATTTGACCATAAATCCTTTCCAATCATGTAAAAATTCAACTCCTCAATAATACATTTGTACTTTCTATTTTTAGAAATATAAACCCATTTCATTTCTTTGGGACTCATTTTAACATGTATTTGTTTCACAATATGTTTATTTTATATGTATTCGTTTATAATGCGAAACTTTTTACATGGATTTTTACTGTTTCACAAACAAGTAAAAAATGTTCATATTGTGAACCAAGTTTACGTGAAACATACATATTATGAAACAAATATATGTTAATTAATACATTAAATTCTAGTTATAGATGAAAAAAATCATATGAAATAACACATAATGCAAAGAATTTCTCATTCATTCCTGTGATAAAATGTACACCTGATGGATGAACGCTGAAACAAAATATCCAGCCAACCAATGTAGCAACAAATCTTGATGCCAATATGCACAAGCTTAATGAAGACGACCACGAAATGCAGTTCAGGTTCGGTCCGGACCGCATTCCGGGATCAATGTACAACCAAACGATGCACGTCGTGATCAATGTACAACCAAATGATGCATGTCGATGTACCGTGGGGGAAGGCTACACAAGTTCACTTCACTTCTATCCAAAGATGCAAATACAAAACCTATAGATATTTTTTACGAAATCGTCCTTTACCTCGCACAGCGTTTTCTACAGCACGGGACTCAAAGTATAGTACGGTCTTCCGGTTTCTGTACATTGGTCGATAGGGACAATAACGTCATTTACTACCGTACACTGCAAAACTCCTTCAAAAATCAACAAATCGTCGAGCACTTTGGATGGCAGACTCTAGAAAGACACGCATATTCTGTATGTTGGATATCAGCAGACCCTCTTTCGCCTTTCCTTTTCGTGTTCTCTGGAGACTTTGCACCCTGGTTGGAACCCACGAAAACTTTATTTGGTTCAATAGCAACCATCGGGGCCAGACTCTTGAGAGGTGTTCCAGGACTGGTTGTGTGTGGCGTACCACCACCAACGAGTTGGTTGACCATTTCCAGGACCTCGGTCATCTTTGGCCTGGACTTCGGGTTTCTCGACAAGCATCTATTCGCTATCATTGACAACTTTTGTGCAGACTTCAGTGAGTACTTACCTTCAAGTCTTGAATCGATAATTAGACGGAATTTTTTCGAGTCTAGGTACGGTTTCACCCATTCTAGAAGCTTCTGCTCGTTTTTGGGGCGGTTTTTGTCCAATGGCCGTCTACCCGTGATAAGTTCATACAAGAAGACCCCGTAACCCCATACATCACTTTTGGCCGTGAGATGCCCTGTTTGGATGTACTCTGGAGCCGCGTATCCCATGGTTCCTACGACCTGATCACATTATATTACACAAGTTTAGAATTTTGACAACGGAAATTGAAGTTCTAGTTTGATTACGAGCATATAGGATATCTAAAGTACCGCAGTTGAGACATGGGTGAGCCCTTCTTCCGGACCTAATCGAGCCAACCCAAAATCCGAAAGCTTGGCATTCCACTGATCGTCTAGAAGAATGTTGGAAGATTTGAAATCTCTGAAAATAATCTACAAAAAAACCAAAGCTATCAGTCTAACATTCCATTTGTAAACTATCTTTTTGGATTGACGGGTCGTTAAAATACCTGAAAGTCCATTTCTTCGTGTAGATATGCCAAGCCACGAGCAGCGTCTTGAGCCACTTTGAGTCTCATGGTCCAAGAAAGAGGTGCTTCGGATCTTGTAGATAAATGATCCTCCACGCTTCTATTAGGCATATATTCGTAGACTAGAAGCCGTTGTATTCCCCTTTCGTCGTCTTCTGCACAGTAACCAACTAGTTTCACAAGATTCGGATGCTCAACGACCCCAAGAACGTTAACCTCCGTTACCCACTCTTTATGCCCCTGTTGCAACATAATCAAGATTAAGTCCTCTATGAATAAAGCTGAATGTGAAGATTAATCTGTTTGTATATGTCGGGAAGGTTTTTGTTTGGGAGGGTTTTTTCATAGATGGGAAAGAGCGTGTTTTTCAAATGGGGGAGGTTTGGAAAAAACTTGGCTTTCTACATAAAGCTCTCCCCTAAAAGCTGAATAAGTTGCTTTCTATATCATTAAGCCACTACCAAACAGTCATGTATAGCTGCCCGAATAAGTTGCAAGTCCCATCAAGCTTATTAGGCCCATTAAGTTCATTAAGATCATTAAGCTCATTAAGCTGCTAGGAAATAGGTCCTTTGTGCCCCCGTTGCAACATAATCAACACTATCAACTAAACTCATAGAAAACGGATGATCAATGTAAACCACATCAAACGAACCCAGTAAAACCCACACAAATTAAGGTCTGAAGAGGGTAAGATACAACTGTAAAACATAAAGAAACAAAGTTTACCTGTAATCCTGTTCGGCCTAGCTGTTTGACAGCCACATTGAGCCGTTTAGTAGGATCTCGAGGATTTTTTATCACACCCGTGTAGACACACCCAAACCCTCCTTCGCCAATCTTTGCAGATAGGCTAAAGTTCTTGGTAGCTGCCTTAAGCTCAGAAAATGTGAACACTCTAAGATTACTTGAACGGTGTGAAAAACTAGGAAAAGTAGTGCTTCTGATCGACTCTGTGCTAAGATCAGACACATCTTGAGAATTTAGTCCCGACCCAGATCGTCTCACATCACGATCTGTAAATATCGAACTGAACGACTGAACTGAGATCGATTTTGTTGGAGTTTTTGGTGCTTCAACCTTTCTTTCGGGGTAAGACAACCCAAAACACTTCATAGCTTCTCAGTGTTATCTTCTCAACTGTCGAAATCGGAATGTAAATTAGAATCAGAATAATTCACAGGAGTATATTTGTATTGACAGAAAATTCAGGAATCCACCTCACCAGCAAAACCCTAATCCAGTTTTCCATAATACAATCGTAAGTTCCCTAAAATGGAGTTCAATCTCAGCTCTTTGAATAAGCTTAGCAATTTGAATCAAGAAATCTTGATCTTGAGATCATTAAAAACATGTTCTTTAGCTCTCTTTGAGTAAGCTTAGCAATAAATCAAGAAAGCTTGATCTTGAGATCATTCAGCTCTCTTTGAATAAGCTTAGCAATGAATCAAGAAATCTTGATCATACACCACACGGGTTTAGTCTTTGAGATCATTAAAAAACATGTTCAATTGTCAATTACCAACAACTTATCATCCACATTTATGCAGAAAAACCAATAAGCTCACAGACCCATCTCATTGAAAAGCCCTAATCCACAATTAATTCATGCAATTTGCTATTTCCTAAAAGAAGGGATGGATTGTGATCAAGATTGAATTTGAAAGATGCAGTTTGAAACTTTCAAACACCTTTGCTTAATACACCCTAAATTGTGCACAGCATCAGAATCAAGAATCCAACTTCTAACACAACTTTCATGATAATAAAAACTCAAACTTTTCAAGAAATTCAAAAAACCCATATTCAATTCATCACAAATCTATCATACCAAAGCAAAAAAGAACAGAAAAGAAAAGTGAGAACATAAACTAAAGGACTCACCTTCAATCAGCAGCCAAGAAAGGATCAGCTGATAGAATAAGCCCCCAAATAGAAGAATATCTTAATAGCAATAGAAGAACAAGAGGCACATGATGACGATCAGAGAGATAAAGTGTATTGACTAATGAAATGAAGAAAAACTAAAACACCCACAATTCAAAGAGGCAAGATATTGGATATTTTGATTGAGTTGGTGAGATGATCTGGTTCCAGAGGTGTGAAATGGGGTTTTGAATAGGGTTAATGGGTGGTGGCGTAAGATTTGGATGAGTGAAGTCAACAGATGAGAATTTATGGGTAGGGAAGAAGATAAATCAGAGTGTGAATTTAAATTTAAATTGAAATTGATTTGGAACGAGTGAATGTGTTGTTAAGCTTCTTGGAATCTTGGTGGCTGCTCCTGCCCTTGTTCCTCGTTTCTTCCCCTCTTGTCGTTTTCCACCCTTTCCCTTTCCCTTTCCCTTTCTTCAAAGTCTAGTATTTCTAATTCCTTAAAGAGGAACCTGTTTTTATCCAAAGTTTCTGTTTTAGTCCTTGTGTTTTTTAAATTATGGTTTTTAATCATGGATGTTTAGCGGTTGTTGAATGGTCTTGTCTGGTGCAGGATGATTAAGTGATCAAATTAATTAAAAGACTCTCATGATATAGTGTGAAATGAAATATAATTGTTTGACAATTGTTTAAGGTGAAATTAGGGTGCTTAATGGTTAAAGGGAGACTTAAGATACAAAATCATTTAGAGGGTTTTAAAACCATTAAACAAGATTCACCTCTTAATGAACTATTAAGAGGTAAACAATCTCTTTAGTTTACACTTTATTTACTTTTTCATGCTTTATACTTAATTATATTGAATTGCTGCAGAGATGAAAGCAACAAAACGTTTACAAATTAAAAGGATGAAAACCAAAATTTTGAAAGTATAAGAACGAAATTTGCAATTTATAAGAGACCATGAGGACGGAAATCATAGTTTACTCCTGTTTTAAATATTGCAAATAGTTTACCAACAACTCAGAATCTTGCCGAAAATACCCTTTGTCTCATATTTAAAGAAATTCACGAAGACTAGATCAAAACTTAAAACCATAAACGTTGATCAAGCATGGCGGTCCCATTCTACAAGATTTTGCTCGTTCTCGGGTCGGTTCCAATCCAATGAGGTTTTACCCGTAATAAGTTCATACAAGAAGACACCGTAGATCTTTGCATATTTTTGTTGATATTAGTATCTCGATAGTGACCACTGGGGCAGACTCTCGAGATTTCTTGTGATTGAACCCGAGTGAGCAGGCTAACCATTTCTAGGACCTCACTCATCTTTGGCCTGGACTTGGGGTCTATAGCCAGGCACCTGTTGGCTATAAAGGACCACTTTTGCGCTGATTCTAGCAAGTAATTACCATCGAGTCTTGGATCAATGATTTTCTGGAACTTTTTTGGAGTCTAGATAGGGTGCCACCCATTCTAGAAGCTTTTGCTTGTTTGTGGGTCGGTTTTTATCGAATGGGGAATCTACCTTTGATGAGTTCATACAAGAATACCCCGTAGCTCCATACATCACTCTTGGACATGAGATGTCTGGTTTTCATGTACTCTGGAGCTGCATATTCCTCTTACGACCTAAACACATTATATCATGGAAAATTTAAGGTTTTATGACGAAAACTTAAGTCGTAGTACAATATTGAATGTCCATAAATGTTAAAAACATGTTCCTTTTAATCAACATTTCACACCCCATTAGCTACATTTTTCTACTCCGTCACAACTCCGAAAATAAGCGTGTTTCTATTTTGGTTTGTCGACTTTTAAAAGTAAGTGTTAATTTTACCATTCTACCCTTAGAACTTGGCTCAAACGTAAGGAACCTTGTCCCTCGTAGGAGCATCATGAAAGTTAAACCCACTTAATAAGGACCAATCCTTGAAGTTTAAATGGAGCTTCGACCTCAAAATCACGATCTCTCTCTCTAATGCTGATTCGATGAGTTTTGTGTCTTTACTACTAATGTTTTTAATAGAGGTGGCAATTTTGTATCAAATTAAACCAACCAACATGTGTACCAACTGTATTAATTAAAATCGGTTAGTAGTCATGTACCAAGTACGCAAACTTGGTTGTTACACAGTAAATTGCACAGTAGCACCATGACACCGACTTATTTAATTATTTATTAGTTTTTGGATTTATAAAAAGAAAAGAAAAAAGGGGAAATTGAATTTATAAAAAGAAAAGAAATTGTCGATAAAGAGGCATAAATTATATCTTACACATATTATTGATCTCTCACTCCATGCAACATGAATTCTGGTTTTGTATTAGAATACAGTAGATTTAGGGGCCGTTTACCAAACGCTTATGCGGGTAAGCGATTACCAAGTAACATTACGTCACCGGATGAATATAGTAAGAACCAAAAATCTTACCCGGTAAGAGCGAGACAAGACCAAAAGTCTTACCCGGTAATTGAGAGTGACGACTCTTACCACGGTAAGCGCTTACCGGATAAATTGTTGTATGCTATGTCGTTTTGGTGGACTAAAATTTTACCTGATAAATACATAATAGTTTTAAATAAGACTACCTTGTTTAGCCATACATCATTGACTCCTTTGCATGAATTTAATTACCTCCTGATCTCTAAAACAAGGTCAATAACTGAGTCTTGTATCTGGGTCAACAAGTCTCGGATCAATAATCAATTGGAAGCTTCCCGAAATTATGGGAGGGATTGGTTCGATAGCAACCACTGAGACTAGACCATTGACTATTGACTATTGAGAGGCGATGGTGCTTGTGATGGAACCCAGTGATAAGTTGGTTAACCATTTCTAGAGCCTCACTCATCTTTGGCCTGCACTTAGGGTCTCTACAAAGGGGACAGCTTTTGTGCTGATTTCAGTAAGTTACAGTCTTGGATCAGTGATTGGCTCCAACTTTTGACCCCGGGTAGGGGGACTCACCCTGCTCGTTCTCGGGTCGGTTCCTATCCAATGGGTGCCTACCTGTGATGTGATGAGTTCATATAAGAACACCCCGTGGCTCCATACGTCACTCTTGGGCGCAAGATGCCCTGTTTTGATGTATTCTGCCGTGGTTCCTACGTTCTGATCACATTATATCACAAAACCTTAAAATTTTGATAACGGAGATGAAGTTCCAGTTCGATTACGAGCATACAGGCAATTGAAAGCTTGGCATTCCATTGATCGTCTAGAAGGATATTAGGATGATTTGAAATCTCTGAAAATAATCTACAAAAAACCAAAGTTATTGGTCTAACATTCCATTTGTAAAGTATCTTTTTGGTCGTTAAAAGACCTGAAAGTCCATTTCTACGTGTAGATATGTCAAAGCCACGAGCAACATCATGAGCCACTTTGAGTCTCATGGTCCACGAAAGAGGTGCTTTAGATCTTGTAGATAAATGATCCGCTACGCTTCCATTATGCATAAATTCGTAGACCCGAATCCGTTCATCGTCTTCTGCACAGTAACCAAGACAAGGTTCGGATGCTGAACCATCCCAAGAACGTTAACCTCCATTACCCACTCTTTATGCCCCTGTTGCGACATAATCAAGATTACCAGCCTAAAATGGAAAATAGATGATCAATGTAAACCACACCAAATGAACCCAATAAATACCAGTAATCCTGTTTGGCTTAGCTGTTTGACAGCCACATTGAGGCTTTTAGTAGAATCTCGAGGATTGTTGATCACAGCCGTGTGGACACACCCAAACCCACCTTCTCCAATCTTTGCGGATCGGCTAAAGTTCTTGGTAGCTGCCTTAAGCTCAGAAAATGTGAACTCTTTTAAGATCATCGGAGAAGACTGACGAATTTGGTTGAGAATTGGTTACGGAGGGATTGTACTTGAGTGGTTGCTTCTTCTTCTTCTGCTTCTTCTTCTGCTTCTGCTTCTTCTGCTTCTTCTTCTTCTGCTTCTTCTTCTGCTTCTGCTTCTGCTTCTTCTTCTTCTGCTTCTGCTTCTTTTTCTTCTGCTTCTGCTTCTGCTTCTTCTGCTTAGAAGCTTCTTCTTCTGCTTCTGCTTCTGCTTCTGCTTCTTCTTCTTCTTCTTCTTCTTCTTCTTCTGCTTCTTCTGCTTCTTTTGCTTCTTCTGCTTCTGCTTCTTCTTCTGCTTCTGCTTCTTCTGCTTCTCCTCCTTCTCCTTCTCCTTCTCCTTCTCCTTCTCCTTCTCCTTCTCCTTCTTCGGTGAAGGAGAGACATTGGCAATGAAACACCATTTTTTCCTTCAAATCATTGATTTCCAGATCCCAGAATTTAACAGAACTTCTAAAGGCTGAGTTAGATGTTGATGCCTGACTTTTTGCTACATGGAAAGCAAGTAGAAATTTCCTTCTTACAATATAATATCCTTCTCCAACTATTGAGTGTAGTCGATCACAAAAAAGAGACACACTAAATTTTTACATAAAAGAAAGAAATTTTCTTGAAATTTTTGAAGTATTTAAATGAAGAATCTTTTTACACTTTGCTGTTACACATAAACACATTCTTCAACTTGGTGGCAACAACTCCGACCAGATTCTTGGTCTTGGGAGGTGGTGCAGGATTGATTGCTCCCAATGGAACCTGAATGAGGTGGTCAACCATTTCCAGGACCTCACCCATCTTTGGCCTGAACTTGTGGTTTCTAGACAGGCACTTCTGGGCTATAGACGACAACTTTTGTGCTGATTTCAGTGAGTAATTACCTTCTAGTCTTGGATCAATGATTTGCTCGAACCTTTTTGAGCCTATGTACGGTTTAACCCATTTTACAAGCTCCCGTTCTTTCTTGGGTGGACTATGATCCAATGGGCACCTACCTGTGATAAGTTCATACAGGAAGACACCATAGCTCCATACATCACTCGTGACCGAAAGATGCCCTGCTTTGATGTAATTCGGATCCGTGTATCCCATGGTTCCTGCGACCTGATGACATTATATCACAGAAAATTTAGAAACTTTAGGGTGAAAATTGAAGTTGTAGTACAATATTAAATGTCCATAAATGCTAAAAACATGTTCTATTCTATTCATCATATTTCACACATCATTAGCTCCATCTTTCTACAGATCCATCAAGGAATCATCTTTAGTTGCTTGGTGACAAGAATGAATTCCATTTCTTATAAATAGTACCCTTACATCCCATTCTACATTATTTTGATTCACAACATATAGTCAAAATTCTAAACTACCCTTTAATGTAGAAAGAATCTTGGGAGACAAAATCAAAAGTGCCCACAACGCAATGACAACAATTGAAGCTCAAAACTTTTAGCAAAAGATGCAAATTTCAAGGGACTTCTCTAACGAGTTGTTTGGTTGGTTTTCCATCAAGTCCTGTATGGGTAAAGCTGTCTGTATGAATTAATCTATCTGTTTAGATTGCAGAAGTTTTTGTTTGGAGGGTCTTTCATAGATGGAAGGAATGTATTTTTTAATTGGGAGGGAAATGTTGGGAAAAAAACTTGGCTTTTTGAATAAAGCTTCCTAGAAGTTTACTGAATAAGCCACTTTCTATATCATTAAGTGTAACACCCAGAAAATCTTTCCCTTTTCTCAACGCTGTGCACATCGAGGATTTTCGTCCCGTTGATGAGGTACGCGTTTTAACCCACATACTTAGAGCTTTAGTCTTTTTTTTTCTTTAGTCAAATTCTTCTCTATTAGTACTTATATATATATATATATATATATATATATATATATAT